AAGTCCAGGAACGGCGCGAGTTCTTTTGTTACGGCGATGCATTCCTCTTTCCTATTCATTTTTGGATTCCCTGCGGAAATCCAGCATGCTTCTAGGGTCTTGCGCGCCGCCACCTCAGCTTCTCGCGATAGTTAGAACCGAGATTTCAAAATCATTGTTTTTATGTCGCTGTCTGCGATAAGTGCCTAAGAGCGTACACATACTTGCTTTTCGCAAACCGCCTAGATGTTCCCTTATTCGTATACATAGCGGTCTTCCCGTCACCTATTTGAGCGGTTCCATTACCTAAACCCAAATAGGTTCACAGCTTCTTTCAGATACGTCAAAGAAGGCGAAATACACGTCTATATCAAATCTTCTTCATGCTTATACACCATCAAAAATGGCCGGATCAACTACGTAACCTCTCCTTATCAGTCACTATAGTTAAAACCGAATATTCTTTAAATGTGCGGAAAATATTCGATTTTTCAAGTAGTCGAATATTTGAAAAGATGCAATTCGATTATTTGGAAGGTTAAATACTTCGCAATATCGAAATTCGAATATTCGAGTTCAAGTAGTGAAACCGAGACCCGAAAACTTTCGTTCGTTCGGTCTGCGAAATCATTGAATATGGTTGAGATCGAATATTTATGTTAGAATAAGATAATCAACAACTCGATTATTTGCACATTCTTATGGTCGAACATCCCAAAATTCGGTTACTCGATGATTCGAATAGTCGACTATCAGAGTCCCTTTCGATTGTTTGAATTCGAATATTCTGCCTATATTTTGAATGGAGATTCGAATATCAAGCATTCGTTGAATTCTTTTTTTGAATGAATATTCGTATTCGTACATCCGAGAAAAATCACGAATGTTTCAGCTATGTTATAGCAATTAGATGATGTTTTGCATTTTTTAAGCACTGCACAGGTAGTGGTACCATTTTATCAATAACATCAATAATTTCTAGCCTTCACTACGGTAAGTCAGGATAAATAATGTAACTAAAGATTTTTTGGTTGAATGTTGGCATGTTGTAAAGGATTTTGTCGCAATACCATCCAACAACATCATTCAAATAGTTTAAGCTCTATTAGAACATAAGTAATACA